GCCGGAAAGAAAATGAATGACCAATGTTGTCGGTTAATTTATATATCTAACTGAACAATAGCCACTACACAGCTATTGTTTACTTGATTTTCTGTAAATATGTGTACGATTTTTCAAATCTTGTGTAATCAGTTGTTGATTTTCCGATTTTTAAAAAATGGATTTTTTTCGAAAATCAAATTGAATTTCTATAAATTGAAAAATCAAGCATTTTCGAATTATTCAAAATTCAATGAATAAATCATAAAGCTTTAAAAATGCTTCAGCTTATTTGAGATCGATTTTCCAAAAAGTAGAATTTCAGAAAAATTTACAGTGTGGCTTCATTACGAATTGTCTTTCGACCATAAAAAATTTCACGAACATTTACTTTACCCATCTGTGCACCAATGTCGATAGAGGTTTGTACCAGATCGAGAACACCATCATTTTCAAGTGCTTTGAAAGAATGACTTCCAGCCGTTACGAATTTCAGTTCAGCATCTTTTAGCTTTCTTTGCAGCTGCTCGCTCAATTGGCTTTTGTTGTAAGCAAATCGAGGAATAAATGCTTGAATAGGAGCTGGTTCCTTTGGTACTGCATCTGTCGACGTCAAAGCTATAATTGTGCTGGAGCTTGAATGGCATTGTTTAACATGTACATGAAATGAAGTCAAACCATAATTTTTTCGGCTTTGAAAAGCATCTCTCTTTGAATGAGTTCGATATGCAACCAAACAATGTTTACAAGCAGCCCACCCATCGAATATTTGTTGTTGTCCGTCCTTGTCGATTACCCGTACCAGAGCAATATCGTTAACCCAAAGTTCGTGAGTTGCCTTCGGATTGTTCACCAAGATAAATTCTTTGGCACGTAATTTTCGTTGTATCTGTCCCGATTGTAAACTATCAGGATCAATCATATTCGTAAACAATGACGAAATAATTTGTGATAAGATTATGCTTCACGTAGAGAGAGAAAAGAAAATGGCCAGTACGAAACAGAACAAGCGCACAATGAGCAGACGGACGAGAGAGAAACAACAATCACACAATAAGCAAACGGACGAGAGAGAAATGGAACAAGGCAGATAAAAATCTACCGATATAATGAACTAATAATATTCTGACTTCATAAGAAAAATAACGAATTAATAATAATAAAATCAGAAGATACATGTATGATTTAGCTTACATCTGTATCAGTTTTTCTCTGTTTAAAACAATCTTTTAAATAGTGCATAGTTAAAGTGAAGGATTGATTTTTGATCCACTAATCTATCACAATTTTAAATTGTTTGATGAACGTTTCAATATATGTAATTCTCAAGATCATCGATCTTCTTCTCTATTAAAAAATGGAAAAATATTATTTCGAAAAAAAAATAGTCTCATTAGAAAATAATTTAATATGAAAATTAGTTTAATGAACTTTTATCGATTGGTAAAAGTCTAGGCAAATATTTGACTCGCAATATTTTTACTACTGATCGAACTTTCTATTGTTTTGACTATATCTATATCTATGATAAACTTTACTAAAGAACATTATAAATACGATATCGGTGGAACTCATAGAATATTTTACAATGATCTATAAATAGATAATGATGATGATGATGATCAATTCAAGGATAATTATTATTCTCACTAATATTCTCGGAAAACGTGGAAATACTCTAAACAAAGATTTATCAAATCGATTGATTGTTTGGTTTAAAATATGAACTGATTCACACGATGTAGCAAATATTAGTTTATCGAATTCTCATCTATTTCAATCTATATGTGGTGAATCCTTAGTTGTTTGTTGTCATTCACTTTAACAAATATATATCTATTATATAAATGTCGAATTCGATTGTTTTGTTTGATTACGCTAAATTTTGTACCATTCGTTTCTTTTACCAGCACACAGTGTCTAACTTAATTTCAATTTCAATTTCAATGCTAAAAAATTCACTTCTAGAATAATAGATATTGAAATAAGTGAACATAGCAACGTCCTTACGAACACCTTGTAGAAACTCCTTTTTAGAAACAATTCTTTTGCTGAGACCTTGATGAGCGTTGCGATCTATGAATAAATGTTTTATTGTCTTACAAAGATTTTTTTAATTTTAAAACTATACTTCTGAATGAGAATCAATTCACACAAATACATGAATCCTATTTTGGTCAAGAAGCATCACAATAAGTTCATGCACAATCAACTTGGAAGATAAAATTTTCTTCAATCTAGTAGAATAAAAAGTATTGGAGCATAATCATTTGATTTCGATAATAATCACGTCAAATAAATATCTACAGGTCACACATATGCACGCAACGATAAGAGTAGACAGTTATTCAAAT